GAGAGAGAGAGAGAGAGAGAGATGGGTCTTGGAGACACAACAAAGCAAAATTATAGCAATCACCTTGGCAAGTGAGATGAAACGTGAGCATCAGTCTCCCAAAATACTGCACCCGTTGACAAGATTTAACTGGCAAAAATGTAGGCTTTACACAGAAATTTGGGGGGCACTTTATGGGGTCAGTCAGGTACACCTACGATTCCGAAACAAACAAATCAATCGTTGCAATAGTGCAATTTTTATTTAGTTTTAGTTTTTTAAAAGTTCAGCTCGTCGGAAGACGTATTATGATACTATCCAACCTTGATCTCTTTCGTTTGGTTGCAATTAGAAGGTTGCGTAATTATGACAAGATTGCGACAGCAAGATATTGTTTAAGACGGAGTTACTAAACACAAATTTAAATAGATTAAGCTTCTCAAATCAAAATGTCAAGCAAACGTTCCTATGTGTTTATCTCATAAGCTTAGCGATAAAAATCTGGCTTTACACGTTTTTTTTTTCGTTTTTTTTGGGTGGGGGAGGGGGGGCATTTTACAGGGTCAGTCATGTACACCCAAGATTCCGAAACAAATAAAAATCAATCGTTGGAACAGTAGTTCTTATTTATTTTAAGTTTTTAAAATGTTCCGCTCGACTAAAGACGTATTATATTATCCAACATTAATCTATTTTGTTTGATAGCAAGAAGGTTGCGTAATTATGAAAAGATAGCGACAGCAAGATATTGTTTAAGACGGAGTTAGCCTACTAAACACAAATTTAAATAGATTAAGCTTCTCAAAAATCAAAATGTCAAGAAAACGGTCCTATGGACCTATCTCATAAGCTTAGCGATAAAAATCCACACGCGTGACAACGAATACTATTTTGTTTTGTTGGGTTTTGGTTTTTTTTTACTTTAGTAAGGCACGGTTTCTTTACTAGTAATTTCTTAATTTCTTTGTTCATCTGAGGCTTTGCTTATACCTAGTGCAAACTGCCAATCGGATTAATCGGACGGACTTTGGGCCTGTCAGATTTTCCTCCAAGGATGGGTCAGCTCAAAAGTTGCCATTTTGGTACAGTATCGACCTTTAAAAAAGTATGTTTGATTTTGAAGGTCACAGTCAAACTTTGATGAATTCGCGCGAGAAGTATTGACCCTGGAAGTCACGGTCGAACCCCGCCGCCCAAATTATCTAAACTGTTTCTATTGGGGTGTAAAACGCCAACATATAAAAAAAACAACAACAGCAGCTTGACGCCTTTGATTATTTCTAAGGCTTCCAGATGGAAAAATATAAGGAGAAACGACAAAAAAAGGTATACCTACAAAGTACATTGTCAGA